GAACAGGGACAGGACAAGGGCAAATGGCCTCAGGCTGGGCCAGGGCAGGCTCAGCTTGGACAGCAGCAGCAATTTCTCCATGGAAAGGGTGCTCAGGCCTTGGCAGGGGCTGCCCAGGGAGCTTTGCAGTGCCCATCCCTGGAGGTGTCACCTGGATGTGGCACTCAGAGCTCTGGGCTGGGGACAAGGAGGGGATCAGGCACGGATTGGACTCCGTGGTCTGGGAGGGCTTTTCCAAGCTGGATGAGTCTGATCCTGTGACAAACAGAGCCCCAGGCCCATCCCCTGCAGCCCTTGGGGCTCAGGGAGGAAACCCCCACACAGAGGGGACACCTGGAGACAACAGGGCAGATTCCTGAGCCTGGGGACAGCTTCATGGCACCTCCCAAAAGCAGAACAAGGAGGCACCTGAGAGCTTTTGCATTCCTCAGCACAAAGTTTTACAATTACAATTTTACAATGTTACAATTTTACAGTTTACAAGGCAACTTTTACAATTTTCCCTACAAACCCCAAGCAGCAGCAGAGAGCCAAGCCCAGCACACAACTTGGGACAAGCAGCACAGCCACGATTTCAACCCCAAAACACAGAGAAACCTCGGGGAGATTGGAGCTGGAGTTTGCCCAGAGCCCTCCAACATTCCTGCTGAGCACACAGATTTGTCAGAGCTGGGCTTTTGGCAGGGGTTTACTCATCCTCTCCTCCTTTTGCCTCCTTTGCCTGGCTCTGGGCAAGGTGCAACCTGCAGTGCTGAGAGGTCTCAGTGCAGCTTTGCTGAACACATGGTTTAGCCCTTAAGTGGATTCTGGAAGGGATCAGTGGATGGACAGCTGTGCACAGAGGCTGGAAAAAAGCTGATCCCTCCTCTACCCTCCACTGGAGATCCTGGCGCTGCTCTTTCAAAAGAAACTGTTAAAAAATACACACAAAAACACACACAGAGCAACACCAAAGTGTTTGCCTGCACGCTATTAAGTTATTTCTCAAAAATCTCCGACTGCACTGCATTTCCTGAACACAGCAGCTATTCTGATGCCTTTCAAGCTCTTAACACGAAGTCCAAATGAATTTATTTATTAAAATACCCCTTGCAAGTCTCAGCCGCAGGTTTCTATTTACATTTGCTTCCCAGCCAGACTTTTCAAGTCTTGTTTGAACAGATCCCTCTTCCAGGAGGGCTCTCAGAGCCCCAGCTCCTCCCTCTCTCCGTGAGGGGGATTTATCCCGAGCTGGGAAGCGTGAGCTGAGCTTTCACAACTCAGCGTTCCAGCCCAGCTCCTGCAGGTCGCACTCGTGGAGTTTTTTTTCTCTCTCATTCCCGTCCCACTTCTGAACTTCCCTTTTCTCCACCCTCCGTGCCCGGCGCACACAGGGACAGCGCCGAGGCCAGCCAGGCGACGGGACAGCAACAAACCCCGCCACGCTGGGGGTGATAAAAATTCACCTTTCGGGATTTACAGCTCGTCCCGACCTGGGGCAGCTCAGCAGCTCCCACCTGAACGAGTTCAGCCGCACGGAAGGCACCGCAAACACCGAACCCCCCCCGTGCCTGTCACTTGCTCGCGGATGTGACTTCCCCCCTCGCTCGCCAGAGCAGATCCGAGCGGCATTCCCTCCCCCACGCCGCTTCCCCGGGAAATTCCTGCCGGGAAGCATTAAAGCCACGGGAGAACAGGTCCAAATAACCCCCTTGGCCGTGCAGGCGCGGGCGCGGAGCGGCGGCAGGGCCGGGCGGTCCCGTTCCCCCCCCCCCTCCCCGCCCCCCCGCAAAAATCAAGTCTCGCTGCTACCTCGGAATCGGGCACAGACGGGCGCGCAGCAGCCCACCTCTTCCCGGCCCGGCCCGACCCGCCCCGCGGAGCCCGACCCGCCCCGCGGCCCCCCCGCGCACCGTCCGGGCGGCCTCTGCCCAGGTCCTGCCCTTCTTCCTGCGGCCCTTCTCCCTCATGTCGGACGCGGCGGGGCTCGGGGGTTGTTCCAGGGGTGTCCGGCGGGCGCGGGGGGCGGCGGGGCCGGGGCGGCGGCCCCTAAAGGCGGGCAGCGCCGAGCGCGGCGGCCCCTGCGCCCGCCGCCGCCGCCATGTTGGCTCCGGCTGCGCACGGGCCGCGGTCATGTGACCCCGCCCGCCGGGCCCGCCCACAGATGGGCGGGGCCTGATGGAGCCACGCCCACCCCGTCCCCGGCCCGCGTTCCCGCCTCTCGGAGCGGCAAACAAAGATGGCGGCGGCGCGTGAGGGGGAGCAAAGATGGCGGCGGGGTTGGCTGAGGGCGGCGGTGCCGCTCTGCCATGGCGGCCGTGCCGTGTCCTACTCTGCTGTCACCGCCAGCAGCTCCCCTCTCCCTCCGCCACCAAGTGCCACCGCAGCTCCGCAGCCTCCGCTTCCTCCTCGCCGGTGATTCCCGCAGCCTGCGCTGGCGCGGTGGTGGAGGGGGCAAGATGGCGGCAGCTCCCTCACAGCCTCAACCTCCCCCTCCCTGTCCGCAGTGACACCGAAGGTGGCGTCTCAAGAGTCAGAAATAGCGAACAATTCGCCCAGCGAGTCATGGCGAATGGGCAGGAGGTTGTGAAAGCCTCAAAGGAGGGAGGCTGAGCTGCCTCAGAGCGCCCTTAGTGCACAGTCGGGCTCTGGGGTTGAGTGTTGGCTCCTGGTGTGCCACAGGCCGTGTCTCTTGTCACCTGCCTGGTGACACGGTGTAAATATAAATATAAGTAAATACAAGACTCTTGCTCACAACCTGTGGCCCAGGGCAGCACGCACGTCTTGCTTGGCAAGAACTCCGTGGTGAACTTTGTTTAAAATGGATCGGGGGCAGCTCCCCAGAGCCCCCCTAAAGCAGCCAGGCAGGCACAGAAACGAGTATTGCTAAATAAATATGCATTAGGCAGCGCCCCTGCATTACAAAGGTAATTTTATGACAATATTACTGTACAAATGTTGCCATTTTTGCTCCATGTTATGTTGGGTTTGTGAAAACCTCTGTGTTGCACCCTGTGCTGAACAGTTTCTCATTTCTGTTATAAATAACTAATGTCTTTCGCTATTATTGGCTTTTGTAAATTAATTTGATATAGTGCACTGAATAGAATCTCTTTTTAACTCCCTTTGATATAATTTGTCAGCCTTTTCTAATTAATACCCTAATCCTTATATAAATTATTTATCTTTGTGTGATAAATATATATTATTTATATACTTATATATAAATATATATGTGAACCTTATATATTAAAGCTTAGGCTTTTGCAAAATATTAAAATAGAAGCTATATACTATGTATTACAACATTAACTTTTGCAGAAATAATTATGGTTGTAAAATAATTAGTAATGCCTTTATTTTTATAATTAACTGACAACAATAAAATAGCTAATGTTGATTAAAAATACTCATAAAAATGGCTAGAACGTTTAGATAATAAAATAAAATTTTTGAAAAACCAAAAAAGCAAGGAAAAATATACCACTGACCCTTCAGCTATTCAAACCACAAACCAGGGGGCCTCGTGAAAAAATAAAATCCAGGACTCTCAAAATCACATCTGCACTGTAGCACATACTCTAAGAAAATAAGATAAAGAATGAAGATAAAGGATTCCCAGGACATATAAACTAAAAAAAAATTTATATATATATATAGAATCATCATTAATATGCATTTGACCAATGCAATGAAAAAAATATTAAAAATGAGTTGTTATAAATTTTCACTTTTCACCATCCCAGGGTGCTCCAAGCACAGCCTGCTCCAGACTCAGAATCTCCTCCAACAGCTGCGTTATGAAAGTTGTTGTTAAATACAGAATAAATGAGATATTTAATGTCTGATCAGCTGTGTGCTTCCAGGTTCCTCTGACTGACAGCCGGGGGCACAGGGAGCGTGGAATGTGGAGCCAGGAAAAGAGGGATTCCACAATTCCAGGGCATTCCACGAGTCCAGGGCGTTCCAGGGGCAGCAGGAGAGCACTGGAAGGTGGCACTTGCTGCCAAAGGAGGTGACAGGTGAGTGCTGGGGGGATGAAGCAATAATTGACAATAAATCCAGCAGTGTGGAACAACAACAATGGCAGTGGGTGGCCAAGGGGGAATTCCCCAGGCTGCTGTGGCAATGGTAACCTGAGGATATCTGCTCCCTCCAAGGGGATTTATTTCTCTTCCCTTCTGTGGGGTCCAGCATCCCGTGGTTTTGTCTGTTCCCAGCGTCCAGGATCTCCACAGAGTCACGGCATTGACGGTGAGCTGATTAAGGATGGGGCACTGATGATTCCCCTCGGGAACACGGTGCCCTGCCCCCAGCAGATGGGACACCCACAGAAATCCCGGTTTCTCCCCTCAATTCCAGCTTTCCAGCTGCTGTTCTGCACTCCCCCTGGCATCCTGCTGCTGCAGGCGTGGTTCCATGATGAAACCTTCACTCGGTGCACTCAGGGATGGGAGAATCAAACACTGCAGGGCTGGGAAAAGGCTCAGGGAGGAGCACAGGGGGATGGGAGAGGGTGAGGGATGGAGCCCCAGGGAGGGAAGGAAGGAGCAGCTGCACCCAAAGGTGATCCCAGCAGGGGAACGGGATGGCTGCAGTGAGCACCCACAGCCCACACCGACTCTGGGCTGGCTTCCAGCACTCGGCTGTGACACATCCCAGAGCTGCTGATCCCAGCCCCCGGGAGCTCTGGGAGCTTTCCCTCCTGCCCAGAGGTGTGAGACACGGCAACAAACAGTGAGGTCACCCTGCTCCTGCCCCAAAGGGAGGCACACTCCACCTCCCTTTCCTGGGAAGTGATTCATGGGGCAGCAGCTGCTGGATGGGTCACTCCTTGCAGCTGGATTTCAGTTTTCCTGTCCACCCTCACCGTGCACAGCAAGAGGAAGGGCAGCCTTCAAGGCCAGGCTGCCTGGGTTTCCCCAGGGGAACAGGAAGTCCATGGATGGCTTTTGCCACACGGCATAGTGTGCTCAATCCCTTGGGGCTGGGATGGGCTGGGATCACCAGAGCTGCTGGGCAGCCCAGCTCAGCTCAGATCAGCTCAGCTCAGTTCATCACTCCCAGCCCAGCTCAGCTCAGTTCATCACTCCCAGCTCAGCCCAGCTCAGCTCAGCTCAGCTCAGTTCATCACTCCCAGCTCAGCTCAGCTCAGCTCAGCCCAGCCCAGCTCAGTTCATCACTTCCAGCCCAGCTCAGCTCAGTTCATCACTCCCAGCTCAGCTCAGCTCAGCCCAGCCCAGCTCAGTTCATCACTTCCAGCTCAGCTCAGCTCAGCTCAGCCCAGCTCAGCTCAGTTCATCACTCCCAGCTCAGCTCAGCTCAGCCCAGCTCAGCTCAGTTCATCACTCCCAGCTCAGCTCAGCTCAGCCCAGCTCAGCTCAGTTCATCACTTCCAGCTCAGCTCAGCTCAGCTCAGCCCAGCCCAGCTCAGTTCATCACTTCCAGCCCAGCTCAGCTCAGTTCATCACTGCAGGCTCAGCTCAGCTCAGCTCAGCGCATTGCTCCCAGCTCAGCTCAGCTCAGTTCATCACTCCCAGCTCAGCTCAGCTCAACCAAGCCCAGCTCAGCTCATCACTCCCTGCCCATCCCAGCTCAGCCCAGCCCAGCTCCCTCTCCTCACAGCTCACAGCAGGCTGCCACCTGCTCTTCCAAGCAGCAAACATTCCAGTGGACACCCAACCAGAGGGGCTGCAATTACTTAAATAATTCAGATATCAGGAGGAATTGTTCCCTGGCAGGGTGGGCAGGGCTGGATGGGATCTTGGGCAGGAATTGTTCCCTGGCAGGGTGGGCAGGGCTGGCACAGGGTGCCCAGAGCAGCTGTGGCTGCCCCTGGATCCCTGGCAGTGCCCAAGGCCAGGCTGGACATTCCTGGCACACTGGGAGGTGTCCCTGCCATGGCAGGGGTGGCACTGGGGGGGATTTGGGTCCCTCCCAATCCAAACCATTCCATGGTTCTGTGTCATTCCACCTCTCTATGATTCCCTGAGAAATCCACCCTGGATTCCATTCCATTTCATTTATCTCCCCAGCTCTTGGAAGCACTGCTGGGCCTGGAGCACTCCCAGGCCTGCAGCAGCCCCTGGCAGTCCTGGGGCTGTTCCTGGGAAGGACACTGCTCTCTTTTTCCCATCCTGGGCAGTTTGCTGCTCCTTCAGAGCTTCCCCTCATCCCACACAGAATTCCCTGGCAGCATGTGAGCCTCATTTCCCAGAGGAGCTGTCAGGCTGTGCCTGTGCCCTGGCTCACCTTCCCCTGAACCACTGCTGGCTCTGGCAGCCCTGCTGAGCTGCAGGAATGATCACATCTCTGGGACTGACTCTGCTGCTGTCATTTGGGAAGATATTCCCAATAAAATCCAACCAGTTCTCATCCAAGGTTCAGTCTCATCTCAGCTTGGCAGAGCACTGACTGTTCTTTTCATAGAAGCACAGAATCCTGGAATGGTTTGGGCTGGGAGGGACCTCAAATCCCCCCCAGTGCCACCCCTGCCATGGCAGGGACACCTCCCAGTGTGCCAGGAACGTCCAGCCGGGCCTTGGGCACTGCCAGGGATCCAGGGACAGGCACACAGTGACAGGATTCCCCTGCTGAGGTAAAGGCTGAGCTACAGCCTGGAGGAAAAGCCACTGTGGGGACAGAAGTGAAGGGAGGACAAGAGTGGAATTCTTGGTGTTTGTGCAGCTACAGCAATACAGGGGGAGCCCACAGGGTGTCATGAGAGCGTCAGGGAACAACAAAAATCTCCAAAATAATCCCCAAACCCTCTCTGCACCAAGGGCTTCCCACACAGCTTCTCTCTTGGGAAATGCACACAGAACATTCCTGGTGGCTGTGGCTCCCTTCGTGCCTTGAAATCCACTCAGGAGTGAAAACATTTGGCCCTTTAGGGATTCTTTATAACCAATAAATCCCAGAGCACTTTGCAAAGATGATAATTAGCTTTAGCACTGCCTTAGCAACAGGA